TAGAGCAATCAAATTTGTTGTAGATTTTAATTAATGCAGCTGGCATCGAAAGTGGCAGCCACAGCCACAGCCACAGTCCCCGTCCCAGCCCCAGACCCCCGCGCCTTCTGCCTTACTCCCGCGGGCAGTCCGTTTCGAAAGTGTAAGCCATTTTGGCAAGAGATCGAAAGATGGTAAATTATCGAAAATACAGACCAAAGTACACTGAGAATAATGGATGGAAACCTTGGTTTTTCTTTTGTCTCCCCTCCCAAAGACTTGACTCACTTGGGAATGGTCCCTTGCTTGTGTCTGAATCATCGATCAATGAATCAAGGCAGTTACCGGATGGTAATACTCGTATACCCACTTCCCTCTTATCTCTCTTGGGCCCCTCTTGGCGGATCGAGACGGGCCTATGGCGTTTCTATAGCGAAACGCACTGTACTTGCACTTGGGTCTGTGTGTGTGTGTGTGTGTGTGTGTGTGTGTGTGCTCCATGTCCATGTACAGGTGTCAATGTGGCAAGTCAATTAATCGGCGATTGCAATCGCTTCTGCTGCCTGTTCTTGCAGGTGACTCCTCCTCCACCTCCTCCAGCTGCCATCTCCTTCTCTCCGACCATCGCCAACTCTCTCCAACTGGCATTCCATCTTTCTGACACATGCCACAGAGCCAGAAGATGGAATGATGGCATTCCTGGTGCTGGTACAATAAGAGGATGCCTGGAAATGACATTTTGCCGGCGCCATCTGCTCCGTGCACCGTGCACCGTCCCCCCTCCATCCCCCCCACACCCTGCTCGAGGGCCCGCTATGCCGTTATGCGGCATAACATAGGAATTCAATTTCCTGCAAGTAAGCTCCTGGTTTCCCCCTGTGCCCCCCGCACCACTGGTCGTGGTCTAATGCTCCGGAAATGCTCTTGAAAAATGCTGCACGCAAATGTTCATGGCAATTTTCCCTCCATCCAGCAGGGGCCAGGCAGCACCACCAGACGACCCGCCGAGTTTCCGCCTTTCCACCTCGTCTCTCCCTCTGTCTCTGCCTCTCTCTGCTGTGGAGGGGGCAAGGTAAGGCTTACATTAAATTCTGGGAAATGTCTCCGTCCGTCCGTTCGCTGGAGAAGCAAATGCCAAGCGATTGATATTGATATTGATGGGAGCGGAGCACCGGGGCATCCTTGGGCTTCTCTCTTCTCTCTTCACTGGCTTTTCCAGAAATTACATCACAATCAGGACTAAGCGGATGGCCATTTGTTTTCCATTCGATTCGTCTCAATTTGCGATGCCGGGATGCCGGGATGCCGAGATGCCAGATTAATTGATGTAAGGTCTCCGAATCGGATCCTAACCACATGCTTAATGATATCGAAGCTGGTGCCTAGGGCTCTTCCTGGGGGCTCGAGAGGCGGCTGGGGCCCGACACTAATTTGATTTTGTCCCCGGACCGGCGGTAGTTTCGGGGGATCCAGTGGGGGGCGCGGAAATTGAAATGAATTATATTTGTAATAGAAAAGAAAAACTGGGCAAATCCTTCAGGCAACGCACGGCTCGAGCTTCTTCGCCTCGGAAGCAGGCTCCCCCCCCCATTCCTTGGGGCTGGGGCCAGTGGAGAGGAGTATATTGTTTTCGCTGACACGCTTACTTCCTTTTGGGCTCCTTGGGGCTATTGCCGAGCACTCACTGTGTGTTCAAGCTGTGTGTGTACTAGACATACACTCGGAGAAAACAGTCATGGCAACAGGAAAAACCGGAAAACCATTTTTCAATTTAAATTTCCCCTTGATTTAAATGTAAATTCATTGAAAAGTCTCCATGCCTAATCGAAATATAAAACACTTTTAGATAAATATAATATATTAGGGTTTTATTTGTATTATAATTAAATATTTAATATAATATTAAATATATATTGAATTGAATTTCTTCATAAATGAATGATTTCTGGTGGTGGATCGGTGGAATGTATCCCAGTGCAATTAATACTCCCATTTCTCTCAGTGTACCGGGGCTTGTTCCTTAGTCATTTCTGGGTCAACTCTTTCTGTAGCTCTCTCTGTCTCTACCGCGCGCTGTCGTGGGCTTTTTTATGACTTTGCATAAATGTAGAAAAATCTGTTTTGACTCCCAGGATTAGAGCCAGGACAGGGACTAGGACCAGGACTGGGACTGGGACTGGGATTGGAGGGCTTAGCCACAGACAGATTTTTGCAAAATTAAAATGGAAAGCCAACAAAGCGAATACACGGAGAAATACCGAGAGCAAAGTATGCGGCACTTACGGGGGGGGGGGGGGGGACATACTGTATATGCATAAATACAGTTGAAATATAATCGGGCATCAGCCTTGAGATTAGAGATCACTCTTCTCTCCCTCTCTCTCTCTCTGTCTGTCCCTTATCTCTCCCTCCGAGATGCCCTGGCGGTGTGGATGGGGTGCCTGTTGTGCAATTCTAAACACAAAATGGCGTCACCCCACTCGGTTATGGCACACACGTTACCCACCCCCCCTGCCCCTGCTCCTGCTCCTGCCCGTGCATTCCCCTCCATGCAGATGGGAGGGAGGGAGAGCGATGTAGGTAGGTAGGCGGCGCTGTCAATTTGATATTCGATTCCATTCCATTCAATCGAGTCGAAAGTCGAGGCGATTAAACGATTACAGATTCCTGCACGCCCACGACTCATTAACATTGAGCGACCACCGACCGACTGTAGTTTCAGTTTTAGATTTCGTTTTGTTTGGTTTTCGGAAATTGTGCAATCAAAGTAGTTGTGTTTTTTTGTTTTCTGCAGATGCCCTGCACATTATTGCTATTATTTGGTGCTCTTTCGGTGGTGAATCCGCTATGAATGATGCAACGAGCGTGGCTGCCGATGCAGATCCCGTGCGAGCAAATCATGTACCCAACGAACCCAAGGGAAGGGGAAGGGCTCTCACATTCGGGTTTGATGTTGAGAGCTGTCGGAAGCTCTCGTGTCGGGCATCGTACGATTCCTCTCCTAGCGAATGGTGGGATGGGGAATGTGACGAACCGAACACCCAGGAAACGGATTAATGCCTGCAAACTGTTGTGCCGGACAGTGCCTCTCCAGTGCACTTCTAATAATCTCGTAGAGTACAATCTTATCTATTTCGGCATGCTCGGTGCTGCCCAAGAACTCGCTTCCGAGTCTTCCAAGTGAGTTTTCACTGCACAGGCATGTCCCTCTCTCGCCTCTCCTACCTGTCTGCCCTCTCTTTCTGGTCTGGGAGCGGGAGTGGGCGCTGTAGAGCGATTAACATAAATCCCTGGCACGTGCCTTGAGGGGCAGCGCAGTCAGTCGGCGGGGAGCGGCAGCGGCAGCCTCAGAGTCATTCCAGTTTATTTGCATTCGAAAATTTCTATGCAAATAAGAAACGGGGGGAGGAGTAAGTGGAGAAAGAACAAACGAGAGGGAGATGCTTTTTCGCTGTTGTTTTGTTACATTTGTTAACGGTAAACAAAATGCGATAAGAATGCAGAAATAAATCAAAAACAGAAGCAGTTTCCCAAAAGAAAGCTCAGAGGGAGGGCCAGAGGCAGAGAAGGCGATGGCGATAGTGAGGTGTGAATTTCCCCCTGCTCCCCCATCTCATTTCTCGACCTGCACTTGAAAGCTTTTCCAATTGCCTGCCGGCTGCCAGCACGGACTAAGTGAGAAAATAATAATAAAATGCCAGAGAGAAAGCCATCGCTCCAAATACCCTTGCAACATCTCCTGGGGGGAAAGAGTTACTCGTTTTATCCCGTGAGCAGAAAATTCAGCCAAAAGGTTTTCCCTCCTTAACGCTGCAATGAATTGAGTCTGATCTTGAACCTGCTCGAACCTGTCGGCCCCCCCGCGTTCGATCGATCTGCTCAGACCTGTTCAAACATGTTCCGCAACATTGTTCGTGCCTGTGCCGTTTTCTGGTTCGTCGTTTGACCACACATACATGCGTGCTGCACATGTATGTGACTTCGTGTGTGTGACGCAACGAAAAGAGCTTCACGAGAGCTTTCGGCTTGCAGTACAATTAAGCTTCCTATGGCGCTTGATGCTGCTCTGCTGATCGGAGGACTCTAAGAAAATGTTGCAAAACGGACAGCCGGCGGTCATCGCTACTGGCAATGACGACGATGATGATGATGATGATGATGATGATGACGCTGATGATGATGTGGTGTCTGAAACCATTGCAACTTTTCCTGCGGTATGGCTTTGTGAATGCCCTAAGAGGGTGATAAGAAGCAGAGGAGTAGAGTGACAGGCGGGGGGGGAGGGGGGAGCAATCCGTAATGCAGTGAGAATGCCGGAAAAAAGTAATACATTCACCTTAAGTAACCCGTAACCCGTAAGCCGTAAGCAGTAAGCCGTAAACCCGCAACCCGCAACCGTACAAAAGTTCCGGACATCATTGCAAATGCATCTGTCGAGGGGTGAGGGGAGAGGCGGGGCGGGGCGGGGGAAAGAGCGAAGACAGACGGAAATGGAAATGGGCTAAAGGACACGTGTTTCGTGTCGGCTGGCAGCATTTCAGTGGCCTGCGGTTCCTCGGCTTGACTCAGATGCAGGATGCGGAAGGCGGGTTGTCTGTCCGCGGGCTTGGCAGTGGGCCAAGTGGGGGAGCAGGGGGAGTGCAGTGCAATTCCGGTTCAGTAGTCTCTAAAGTGATTGCGGCTACAGTCCCCAGTCCCAGTCCTGCTGGTGGCCAGTTCCCACAGAGATGGCCCTGCCACTAGTTGTTTGACTCTATTTAATGGTCAATAATGTGGATTCTGCTTCTGGGCCTAATCACAGAACGCCTCCCCACCCACCAAGGCCCAATGTTTGCTGTTGAACTAGGGGCCCCCTTCCTTCCCGCCGAATGCTGCCTGATGGGGTTATGCACGAGAGAGTAGCCGCCTTTGAGCCTGTAAAATTTTTGAACGATTACGTACTACAGATAGAACACATGTACAGACCTATTTCCCACCCTTTGAGCAACGGAATAAACCTCTGCTTTGTGTGTTTTTCGCAGCTGCCAGTACTACGTGAAGAGCCATCCATGGGTGCTGGCCTACCAGGGCGTGATCACATTCTTCGTGCTGGCCAACTTCACGCTGGCGACGTTCATGGACCCCGGCATTATACCCAAAGGTATGTAGCGAGGGCTAAACGAGGGCCGAGCGAGGGCCAGCGCCAGTCCGCACAGCCTAAACTTCGACTGTATTCTAGCCTCACCCGACGAAGACTGCGAGGAGGAGCTGCGCGCCCCGCTCTACAAGAATGCTGAGATCAACGGCATCACCGTCAAGATGAAATGGTGCGTCACCTGCAAGTTCTACCGCCCGCCCCGCTGCTCCCACTGTTCCGTATGCAATCACTGCATAGAGGTGAGTCCCATCTGCCAATCTGCCATCCCCTTCCGCCTTACAGGTACTGATACTGAGACTGATACTGAGATCTCGATTTCGTTTCAGACCTTCGACCATCATTGCCCGTGGGTCAACAACTGCATCGGCCGGAGGAACTATCGGTTCTTTTTCTTCTTCCTCGTCTCCCTCTCCATACACATGCTGAGCATATTCTCGCTGTGCCTGGTCTATGTGCTCAAGATAATGCCCCACATCAAGGACACGGCGCCAATTGTAGCGTATCCTTTACCAAAACAAACACAACAGCACTTACATATGTTATATATATGTATATAGCTTTAGGCAGAGATTTCTGTCCCCCGCTCTCCCCCCCTCTCTCTCTCTCTCTGTCTCTGTCTCTGTCTTGGTTTAACCCTTAACCCTTTTGCGATTGGCGATTTGCGATCTCTTCCACAGCATGATACTGATGGGCCTTGTCACCATACTGGCCATACCCATATTCGGCCTGACCGGCTTCCACATGGTGCTGGTGTCACGGGGTCGCACCACCAACGAGCAGGTCACGGGCAAGTTCAAGGGCGGCTACAATCCGTTCTCGCGCGGCTGCTGGCACAACTGCTGCTACACACAGTTCGGACCGCAGTATCCAAGGTGAGTGGAGGCCACCTACATGTGTACATGCCCCATACATTCCCTCCCAGAGCAGGTGCTGGTGTATTTGGGGCATGGCCTGACATGGCCCGACATGGCTCGACATGGATGCTTGCCGCCTGTTGCGGGCGGTGGCGGTGGCGGTGGCTGGGCGGGCTTTGTGGGGCGTTCGAGATGATATCGATTTGTGATTGTTAAATTTAATTGCTCAACTCTTGAATGGGAGACACTTGTCTCTCCGGCGCATTGCTAATTGGTAGCCAGCAACGTCAATCATGCCATAACCTGCCATAATCGAATGCCGTGTGCAATTACGATGCAGCCCACCGCCGCCCGCCCACACACTCAACAGAGGCCAGAGAATCTAGAATGTTGCAAGTCGTTTGACAATCCATACACAATTTATTCAAATCGTTAGATTTAACTTGTCAAACTGTCTATTGTGTAGACTGTCCGTCCTGTCAATTGCACTCGAATCATCCGACGTTGTTGTTGCTGCTGCTGCTGCTGCTGCTGCTTAAGTAGCAATCAAATGCTAAACTGTACAGTCTATTTGGGAGCTTAAATTACGCTCTTAGTATACATTTGTACGTGTGCATGTAAGAAGGCGACGGGGAACAGCAAAACAAACTTTAACGGAAGAGCGTCGGAGGGAGAGCAGAGCAACAGCACGAGATAAACGGCAGAGAAGCAGGTGGACAGCACAACTATGTAGATTAACAGCAAACAAGCAGCAGCAGCAACAGAGAATCAGATTAACAGCAATAGCAACAGAACAATGTAGATCAACAGCAGGGTAGCAGGTTCAAAGGAGTAACAGCAGAACAGCAACAAGCAGCAGAAACAACAGAGAAGCAAATTAAAAGCAGTAGCTAGATCAACAGCAGAGAAGCAGCAACAGCCACAGAGAAGCAGGTTAACAGGAGTAACAGCAGAACTATGTACAGCAACAGCAGTTTAACAGCAACAATAGCAAACAAGCAGCAGAAACAAAAGAGAAGCAGCAGCGGATAAGTATGTTAACAGCAGAGAGCCAGCAACAGAGAAGCTGGTTAACAGTAGTAACAGTGAACTATGTAGATCAACAGCAGCAATAAGCCAGCAACAGTCGAGAAGCAGCAACGCAACAGCAGAAAAGAAGAGCAGCCCTGCTGGCAAACAGCCGAGATTTTTTGATACATCTTACACTTGCCCAATTCAATATTATCAATAAACATGTAATCAAACAATATATTACAGGCATCTAATACTCTCTTTCTCTCTCTCTCTCTCACTCTCTCTCTCTCTCTCTATCTGTTGTCTGTCCCTTCTGACAGCTTACTCAACCCAAAGAAGTACGAATCGAGGCGATCGCAGACCCAGAACCAGGCCATTAGCACGATATGCAATGATCGGACCAACCAACAGAACAATTCCAGCGGTGCCGGTGGCAACGGGACTGCTGCTGCTGTCGGCAGTGGCGGCGGTGCCGGGGGCGGTATTCGTGGTACGGCGGTGCAGTATTCGCCCCGCTCCTACTACGAGTCGAGTCGGGAGAAGCGTGGAATTCAGGTAAAGACTTATATGGCCGAGGGCAATGGTTATAATCAACGGTCGGGCAGCACAACGCTTTACAGTAAGGTGGGTAAAAAAAAAACAATTTTTGCAACAAAACAAACAACCAAAAAACTTCGAAACAACTCATTCAAAAGAGCGAGCAAAACAAATGCAAAGCCAAAAAAAAAAAAAAACCAACAAAAAAAAGAACAAATTCAGATTCCCATTACATATATCTATGTATCCTATATCTATTGTATCTAACTAATATACCCAATATACATACATACTATACCCTATAGTTCTCCAGATGGCGACAGCAATCGCTCTCTCGCTCTATCGCTCTCTCTGTCTTACTGCTAGTTTTTCGTGGCTAGTGCGGGCATTGCTGGCGCCACCTGTTGTTTGTTGTTTGGATTAGCTAATGTTGTTGTAATCGTAATTGGTGTTACTTTTTATATGTCCATATTTTTCCCATTTAAACCGTAACTGTAACCGTTAACTGTTGTTGTTTCTGTTTCTATTTATGTTTCCGTTACTTCGTGTTTCCTTCGTTTTTGTTTTGTTTTTATCTCGCTTTGAGCGCTCTCTCTCTCTCTCTCTCTCTCTGTTTTCTTTTTCCCTTTCTGTCTCTTTCTTTGGATCTCCTTCTATTGCTCTAGTCCCCAGCCCACCCCAGCCCCCACTCTGCTTAATGATTTTGATAATTTATAAATACCAAATCGTAGAAAAAGAGTGCACCAGACAGGCTCTGATTTCCACTTTCTTTTGCCTCCGACCTCAACCCAAGGGAGCCAGCCGGGAGGCCATTCTAACCTTGAACGGGTGATAATCAATCTAAAGAAAATAAATCGTTTTTGAGGATATTGGTTATTGATCAGCACCACCATAAAATCGCATCAGTCGATCGCATCGTCAAGCCTGAAGGGTTTTATTGACTTAAAAGCCATTAGATTCGGCTTCTCATCTGAGATATCACCTCAAGATAGTGAAACCATTGGGGAGTCTATCCCCTCTAGATTCTGTGCTGGGAAGCAGGAGACATCAGAGCACATCCTATGAGTGCTCACAGGACTTGGTCTCAGCGTAAAGGAAGGGATCTCACACTGTCCGGTCCGCCAAGCCAAGGAGAAGAGTCTTCTAATGGGAGAGAGCTCACAGTAGACACTGAGGTGTGGGCCCACTAGATCCCCTTTTGGCGGAGGGACCTCAAAGTGAATCCATATTCAATCGCCAAGGTCGGGTATTGGGAGATGCAGCCATATATCCCCATCAGGATAGAAACAGTACTCACAGCACTCTCGGGATATACTGGGACTGTCCGTCCGCCTAAGAGATGCTTCACTGTACCACAGACATGAAAATAGAGAGACAAAATAGAGTGCCCCACGTGTCGTGCCACCAGACCCAGCTGGCATTCATCCTTCAACCTGCGCCTCCTCCTCCTCCTCCTCCTCCTCCTCTTTCCCCCATCTCCCCCCTTTCCCACCCCGCCCACTCTGGCCTTCAAACATATAATTTTTGTTTTGTTTTCTTTTTGGCTGCTGCACTGCACTTACGGCCGTATTTTCTTTTCTGTTTAGCTGCTTTTTCGCTTTTTCTTCTGCTTTTGGGGTAGAAAGAAAGTTGTAGCCTGTCCTCCTGCTGCTGCTTACCCGCTTTTCCTCCGCTCTCTCCGCTCTCTCCATCATCCCGCTGCCTCGCCACCGGGGGAGGCTGGGCGGACGATTAGTTAGCTAGTGCCACACCCCGCTTTCAGGACCCCCCAAATGACTCGCACACAAACACCAGCCGCACACAAGCACACGCACACGCACACCCCAGCTCTCTCTTAATCTCTTTCTCTACTTTCTTCTCCTTCATCTGCCCCTGCCTCTGCCTCTGCCTCTGCCTCTGCTAATGCTATCTTGGCTATCTTTCTGGCAAAAACATATCCCCCCTCCCCCTATACATATGTATGTACCATAAATCTGTAAAATACCTCAATAGTATACATATATCCTCCATTCACTGATTTTTAGATTATTTTTCCTTCGCCTAACACAAATGCCTACGATTTTTTGGGTTATATTTGGAATGCACTTCTGCTTCCGTCTGCTATTATGAGATGTCTTAAGACTCAATTCGTTATACGGGAAAATTCGTATCATCAGCCAACATTTTTGTGGAATAAAGAGAGATCCCATGGAAGAATCTTCCGATTTAATTATTATAAAACTCAAAAAACAATAAAGGATGAACATATGTACGTACATATATTTGATTTCTGATAGGAAATGTGTCCTCTAATAAAGCCCATCCATAAAGAGCACAGCACATCCCATATTAATCCAAGAAAATCCAAGAAAGAAGACTAAAAGCCAGTTCTGGTAGAGAACTTTAACTAAACATATTTGAGATAAATTTACGCGAAAATACAATGACAAAAGGCTGCTCGTTAAGGGGACATTCGTCTTGGACGCGCCTCACCAATGCGGAATAGGAAGGAAAGGCAGGTGAAGTGGGTGTCGCCTCTTGAGGCATCTGCGGAGGCGACCATTGGTTCGTCCCTAGCGGATTAATGTGTGCGAGCAATCTTTTAGGGTCTTCTTGAAGACCCAGCCATATGTGCGTTTCACAACACTGAACTTTCATAAACCCCACGAACGATCCATCCGATAGACTGTAATTACCTAGAACCTATCGACAACAAATGTAGAAGTGGTAGTGCCTCGCGGTGAAAGTTTTCTTCTGGGTGTCGGAGGATCTTTGTTCGGACTGCCAGAAGTTTCGACTGGATTCGGGACCCAGAGCCGACAAGGCGCAGTCTTGGGGTTTAGTTTTGCACCAACACCAACACCACCACCTCCCCACCCACATTCCCCGCCCATTCCCCACTTTGCATGCATGCGGATGGAGCTGTTGAGTTGCCCTTCCCTGCCCTGCCCTGCCCTGCCCTGCCCGTATATACCCGTATTCCCGTATTGTTTGCATTGCGATATACACCTAAATATTTAGTTGACCCGCTTCCTTCCGTTTTGGGCATCTTAACCCGTTTCTGTTTCTGTTTCCGTTTCCGTTTCGTGTTCTACTAGTAGGGCGGCCCGCTCTGGCCCGCTCCAGAAGTGTCGTGTGTTACATCAGTACTACCACATACGTATATATAGAACCATATAGCATACATACTTATATCGAAAAGAATTGGTCGAAACTCGAAAACTCGAAAAGAAAGCAAAAGAAAACCAAAAAAACAAAGAACAAAGAACAAAACTCTACACTTACTGCAAGCACCGATAAAGGTAAAAACTATCTAAAACCAAAACCAAAAACAAAACAAAAATTCTAATTGTATTCTAATTTGTATTTTTTTTGATTCCTGATTGATTGACCTTGACCTTGACCATGACTTACCCCCGAGAAATATTGATTTCAATTTCTTTTCTATTCCTCTTATGATTTCCCTTCAAATACAATAATTTTTCAAAATTCGGTACTCTTCCCCGTCCTTTGCACTCCCTATCTTTATCTCTCTCCCTCTCTCTCTCTGTCTCCACACTACACTAGCAATTCGAAACGGTAAAAAGAGCAGGAAACAAATATCTTGCAGATACATATTCCAAAGCATGCGACGCCTCCTTGACCTTGACCTTGTCTGCCCTTCTCTGTCCGTCGTGATCCCTGATCAGTGATGGATTCTTTGCGATTCGATAATTCATCCATTATGATCAGTGATACCTTTTCTTGATTCACGATACAATGCTCTTAACGGCCTATACCGATGGCTGACAAATCGAGAAGAAGCTGAACAAAATCAATTTAAATAACAATGAAATAATACGGAATAGTAGTTCCCTACACCATGATGCCTGATGCATGATCCTGGTCCTGGCGCGCCCTTTGTTTCGTGATTCGTGATCAGTTTTCCAACAGAAACTTACTCAAGTTTCGGGTAGAAAAAGTATGTCCTGTCCTTGCAGTATTCTGCCAGGGAATCCGCAAGGACTTCGTCCTTTTTCTGGATTTCCTCTTTGACTCTTTTCGTTTTGCAGTGCTTTTTCCGGAGACTTTCTTCCTCTTTTCGCTCTCGTCCTTCGGCCTCTCTCCAGTATTTTTTTTTTTTTTTTTTTTTTTTTTTTTTTTGGGGCCTTGGACACCTGCTGACCCCTTCCGGCGGGAATTCCACACATACACGCACATACACCGACACAGCCCCCATTTCCCCCCTCATTTCCACATTTTGTGTACAATTTTGTATGTTTTCCTTGTATCTCTATCTCTCTCTCTCTCTCTCTCTCTCTGTCTCTCTGTCTCCATCTTTTTCATCTTTTCCTTCATTTCCGTTGAAATCTTCTACGTCTGTTTCTCCTATCTATCTATCGTTTCTATCCGTTTTTTATTATTTGTTTTCTAAAACGAACGCAACTTAAAGTAGGCCTAAGTCTGTGTCGATCTCTGCTGCTCCCTGTCGCCTATCGGCTGTCAATCGATAACTAATCCCCGACTCTGCGATAATCGCTTGCCCATCCACAGCTATCGCCCGGACGAGAGTGCTCCGACACGGACCTGGAGCCGCCACCCGCCTCGCAGAGCCAAGACTGCGAGCCGACGCCGCCGCTGCAGCGACACAACTCGAGCAACTTCTACCTGCCGCAGGTGAGCGACGGCGGCGGCGGCGGCGGTGGCCTCAACGGCAGCATCGCCACGGGCATGCCCAACTCCCAGAGCACGGCCGGAGGCGGCGGCGGAGGAGGCGACTCGCCCCGCCACATGCGTCTCTACCATCCGCGCCACAGTCCGCATGCGCGGCCCAGGTGAGTTCCTCAGTCCTAAGGTGTTCAACGCACATCTCCTTCTCTCCCAGTGTGGCTTAGCATGCTTGATCATGTGAGAGAGAGGGAGAGTCAATGGGTTGAACCACTTGAACCTCTACCTAGTGCAGAATGAGTTTGAAGATCGGTTCTTTTGAGTGGTATATAATGATAAATAGATATGTATGTATGTACAGTGGCGCCGAAAAAAATAGCACCAGTAGGGACGACCGTCTTTATTCCTTCAAAACAAGACCTCTGTCCAACATTTGCTGGACTTTACTGCAATATAATGTAGCTTTATATGTCTCTTGTCTGAGAGAAGTGTGCTTACTCTCTCAATTCTAACGGTTCATATAACATTAGGCAATTTTGCGAAAGAAGAGCGAAATAGAGCACCAACAAAAATAGCACCAGTAACTGTTTTATGTAAAAGCTCCTACTTTTCGGAGCTTCTTGACATTTTAACTTCTTGACTGAATTAAAAATCGGTGGCTTTAGGTGATTGTGACAAGAAAGTTACAAAATTTAAGTATTTATGGGTCTTGGAAAGCACTAAAGTGAAGAAAAAAGCCAAAGGATCAAAACTTTCATTTCAGAAGGCAGGACCTATGCTAAGGTGGGGCAAATTGTCGGTTGTTCAAAAGAAATGATTAGCAATGCTTTTCAATATGTTTCTAACAAGAAACACGTGGAAGAAAGGCCGCGATATTCCCAATTCTGGTAAAACTACTGGTTCGTGAGAGCAAGGAGGACCCATTTAAGTCGGCCACAGAGCTAAAGCAAGGATCTTAAAAAATCGTCAAGTACCAGGAAAGTTAGATCTTGTTTACAAGAACGTAAAATGGGTACTCGTAGTACGAGGAAAATTTAACTTTTCACGGAAAGGCATAGGGCAAAAAAAGTTTGGTATGCAAAATAGCACTGAGGTTGGGCCAACGAAAATGGAGAAACATCCTGTGGTCCGACTAAAGCCAAAATTTATTTTTTGGTGTAAAAAGGTCTTGTTCTTGTGTGAAACGACTACCGAATGCAGAATATAACCCCCTGACTCACATGTAAATTCATTAGACATAGAAAAGCAAGAAAAATCGTATGGGCATGATTTTCGTAATAAGTAGGTGATCCAATACATGGCACAACCCCATTATGGATCAACATGTCTATGTCAATATCAAAGAAACAGTGATTCTGCTTTATGCTGAATACGAAATAGAGTTGTTTTGTGTCTTCCAGCAGGAAAATGACACAAAACGACCTAGAAAGAGAGCTCGAAAATGGTTCGAGCACAATTCTCTTAGTGCAATGGATTGGCCTGTTCAGTCTCCAGACTTGAACCCCATTGCTAATATTTTGGGTCAAGTTAAAAAATATGTTTCTAATGCGGAATCAAAGAACAATAAATATGTTTGGGGTATCCTGCATGGTTCGTGGATCAATATCCCAAGGAAAAGATGCGAAAATTAGGTGAGCTTAAATGCCAATATGTTGAGCTGCTGTTGTTGCTGCCAAAGGTTTTACAACAAAACGCTAACCTTTAAATACAACTAAAGTAACATATTTTACAAAAAAATTTGGAAAGTTTCCTTGTATTTTATAGTTTTTTGATTTCTTTGTAAATTGGTGCTATTTTTGTTGGTGCCCAAATTTCTGATAAAATCCTTTTCTTTTCAAATATTCTTAACTGGAGTTTGCAAATTATACCAGTGCTCTGCGATACGATTAATTATACCTTAAAGTTTATATATTAGTCTTAACAACGTTCATTAGAACCATTGCTTAAGCAAAATCCGTCAATATAGACAATTTAGTCCACTGGTGCTATTTTTTTCGGCGCAGCTGTACATATGGGCATTTCCATATAGCCAGAAGGAACAAAAGAAATCCCTTCCACGCGCTTACTCATTCTCTCCATCTCTCTCACACACACTCTTCCTCGTGCAATGTGCGCGATCTGTCGGAGGGCAGAGAACATTGCCAGGGAAACAAAAAGGGAAAAGAAACCCACAGATCAAATCTAATATACCCTCCGAGAACCTCCCAAACGGTTCGACCGATAAAAAATATAAAATCGAGTGATTGAGTGATTGAGTGACTGAGTGACTGAGTGACGGGTATAAAGTAGAGCCGCGGCCCTTGCTTTCAGTACTCTCGCGCCGTGCTCTCTTTATATTACTTTCTGTATATTTGGGGCCACGAATGATCTGTACTGTTCTTTCTGTTGCTTCTGCAGGGGTCTGGATCCGCAGCGCGGCTATACGAGCGACGCCCTATCGCCGGATCATCCCGGCGGCGTTGGCTACGGCGTCAGTGTCCAGCAGCAACAGGCTATAGCGGCGGCGGCCGCTGCGGCTGCGGTGGCGGCGGCAGCAGCACAAAATCAACGCAGCGGGACGACCACCGCGACACCCACCATGCAGCAACGAATTAAGCCGCTGGGCGTGGCAACGCCCCTGGTGATGGCGAGTCCAGTGCGAAGGTGAGTCTCACTCTTTCTCTCTCTCTCCCTCTCTTTCCAGTTCTCTCCATTGCCCCCTCTCGCTCCTCATGGTACTCTCCTCTCTCAGCCAGTGCGCTCCCCTTGCTCTCCTTCCTAAAGCTGCTGCTACTGTTGTTGTTGTTTTTGTTGTAAGCTCTGTTAATCGCTTAAATCCGTTCTATGTTCGTGTACGTGTGCGTGTGTGTGTCGTTGCCGCTGATCGATCGCCGTTTACCGTTTGCTATGCTCCTGCACTGCTTCCAGTACGCGACAAAAGCAGCCAGCTATGAAACCCAATCGCACTTGGCCTCTCTCGCTGTCTCGCTCTCTCGCTCTCTCGTTGGTATGAATTCACGTTACCGCCCGCCCGCTCACGTTTTTCTGTAGTTTCTGCGCTCCGCTCTCCTCTGCTTTCCCGAAAGAAACCTATCGCTCTCTGTCTGCCCTGCGGAATATGAGTATTCGTCCACTTTTAAAGTATTTAATGGTAAAGATAATAGAATTAGTCCCTATTTGCGGCATATCCATGTGGAATACTATCGAATGACTTCTGTACAGCCTTGCCGTCGGCACAGATAGAAGCGAGATGGCTATACTCCACTCTACTCCCCTCCACTCCCCTGCCCTCACATTCGGCTGGGACATGGCCGCAACAGAGAGGGCCATCGGTTCAACGACCCCTGCTTTTGTATGCCTCCTTTTTCCTCCCTTGTGTGCTGGCATTCTCATTCTCATTTGCTTCCCCCTTCAACCCCTCACCCACCCCCGTTTCACATTTTATATCATGATTTTTCTGTGTGCACCTTTCCTTACCTTAAACTAATTATTTTTCCAACTTTTTCTTTTCCGTTTTCTTATTTTTGTTCGTTTTCTCTTAATGTGTTGTAATGTGCATATACTGTCTGTGTGCGAAGTCATTACTCAAATTCTGAGAACAGTACTAATTCCTAAGCTTTAGCTTAATGAGAACCGAAACCGCGATAAAACCAACCAACCAACCAACCAACCAACCAACCAACCAACCAACAACAAACCAATCAAAGAAACAAAAGCAATAAATCTAATATTATGAAAACTAAGTCAATAAAAAGATAAGTAAAACCGAACCCCCCGCAAGGATCAAATGAGTATCGTCAGAGCCTGGTTCCGCATAGCTCCTACACAGACATACACACACACACACAGACACAGACTAAGCCACAAGTCAAGCCGTCTTCGTCTTCGTCTTCGTCGTCGTCTCTCTCTCTCTCTCTCTCTCTCTCTTTCTATCGCTCTTCCAACTATTTGTGCAACCATCAACACGAGCCACGTGCTGCACCCTGTATAAACCTTCTACTGCTACACTCCTTGTGCCCCACGCCACGTGCCACGTACCACGTGCCACGTGCCACTTGCTGCACCTTCTACTGCTACACTCCCTGTGCCGCGCGTGAGGTGAGTTTGATTTTCTTTCTTCTTACATTCTTTCTTTCTTTCTGTTCTGTTCTGTTCTGTTCTGTTTCGTTCGTTCATTTTCGTTGATTCTTCAACACTGTCAGAGTTTCTTTATTCTGTTATTCTGTTTGCGTTCGCCTCTTACCCTCAGCCATTCATAATACCCACCACCCACATCCCAGGGGTAGACATCTCATCCTTGTGATTCCCGGCAAACGGGGGAGCCTGGACGCAGGGCATTGCATCCTGGTCACGGCAGGACTCTTGTGCTCCAAGCTACAAATTCTTGATCGATCCGCCCTGCATGAACAGGCAGCCCAATCGAATCGTCTCGGCTTTCTCGTTACTGTGCATCGAATCGCTCGCCCAAACCGGACCGAACGAAGCAGGTCTCGCCATTTTTACTGTGTCAGAGCCGAAAATTTCGGTTTTTTCTTCACGCTCACTCTTCTGGCTGGCATGTTTCGAGTCAGTACAGGTGTCGGTGATTCGGTGTGCTCCGAATCTGATCGAAAGCATTCAAGAGGCATTCAAGAGGCCCTTGCTCTTCGATGCCTAATGCCTAATGCCGGCGAATACCTTCGTCTCCTCCCCACTCCCCTCTATCTTTCGCTTCTGTCAGCTTGTCTTTTGCTTTGCTCCCAGTGGGGCACTATACTGGTTTTGGGACGATCCAAGTGATCGGACAGTCAGTCCGAAGCCCCAAGTGTCACTCGAACAGTTTTCATTGGGGCTATTTTATACAGTTTTCAACACAGAAAGGATCTCAGATTCGAGCTCTCCCTAGACTGCAAAACAAAATTTTCAGTTTTTCCAATTTTTCAATTTACCTTTGGCTTCTCCCAATTTTCCCGGCCGCAATACCAGTTTGACTAAGTTTTCCGCGCAAATCGAACAATCGTGCAGCCTTGACTCGACCCCCACCGTACACACCGCGACACGAAATGGACTCTTTCCATAACACACTCAACAGCCCCGCGATGGGCGGCGAGCAGCGATCGAGCAGCGCGTTCGACAGCCGGCGCCAGCAGACCCACCTCCGGACCCTGCGACTGCTCAACAGGGCCGGCTTCGTCCGCCGTCGCTCCCCCGTCAGCTGCAACGGAGCGCGCCTGGCGGGGGGCGGCCTTGGGGCGAGTGACTTTGAGGTGGCCGGGGGCGGCGACAACGGGGTCCAGCCGGGCCAGGGGTCCTCGGGGCTCAGCGACGATCTGGACAGACCTCGTGCCAGGTGGATGCGGAGTGCCACGACTGCAGGGGCATCGAAGGACCTTGCACAGGCGCCTTACGCTAGGGGCAGCTGGAGGCCAAGGAAGCGAGAAGAAGCGACAGGGCCAGAGCAGGAGAACGGAGAATCGTACGACGGCAGCGACAGGAGGGATCCGGGCGTTGGACAGCTGCCGGCATTCAGCGGAAGACGTGGGGCGCGGCCCGAGCTCATGCTCGCGAGGGAGGGCTTTCCCTCGTCCAAGATGGACTACGTCACGCTGATCGGCTTCGTACTGGGCTACCTGGCCTCGAACATCCTCTTCCTGCTGTGCTGGTACTTCAGCTGGCTCAAGGACAGGGCGGTGCGCATCCGCAGGCGCCTGCTGGGCCACGAAAACCTGTGGGAGTTCTTCGACTTCGAGGACAACTCGCGCTATTCCCTGCAGACCAAGCTCGTCCTGGCGCCCCTCATCGTCTTCTGCATCCTGCTCTACGGCCTGGTCAACATAATGCACGTCGTGATCAAGCTGGTGCGCTCCGATGTGCCGCGCACCGTGCTGGACTTTGTGCAGGCCGTGGCCGAAAGCGGCCTCCAGGGCACCATTGCCGGCATCAGGGCCGGCAGCGAGCGCTTCGTCTAGAAGCAGCAGGACGAAGAGAGGACCGACCCACAGACCATATCCAAGTATGCCCACCATCTGTTCCACTGTTCCACTCGCTCTCACTCTCGTCCATGTGTGGGCTGTGGTTCATCGCGAGCAACTCCAGCGGAACTCCTCTCGCTGTTCATTCACTAATCCAACACCCAACCATAACCGCGGGGCGGGGGTCACTGGGTCACCGAATGGTTCACCGATTGCCGACATTTTACATGTGTAACTGTAACTGTAACTGTAACTGTAACTTTAACTGTAACTGTAACTGTAATATTAAAAGAAAACAAGAATACTGAACCGCATAAAGATTACCATTTCCCGTGTTTATCGATTAACCAGCGATTAACCTATCGATCGTACTTTTCGAGAGCTTAAAACTGTACCTCCGATAAAGTCTTGTATTTAAATGGAGTGGATTGATTGAAAGCGAGACAAAAACATTACAAATACAGAAACAACATAGATCTACATGGGATCGAAGGATCGTCCTGGGTCCGTACTGTACTGACCGTACTTGTGCGGTCTGTCATCTGTCATCTGTCATCTCTAGTTCTCAGACGCGTAACTGTACCTGTTACTAACTGTATTTGTAACAGCAACTGTGAATCATATCGCATCGAATCGAATCGAATCAAATATAATGTTCTGTTTAACCTTCTTAACGATCGCTGCCACGCCCTCACACTTACACACACACACACACACACCCATCGCTACACACACATCCGAGCAGAGGATTCCATGCATTACGTATACATATGTACATATGTCGACTGCCCATCGCTGCCATCGATCGATCTGTTCGTCTAACAGTCGGTCCAACGTGGCGTTCTGCGCGCCCAGTCGCATGTCGCATGTCCAGTTGTGGTCCCATGGCTAACGCTTGCTCCATCCCTCCCCCAGATCCAACCCGGGCACGCCCACGCAGCCGCGACGTCCCGACTTCATTGGCCTGAATGCCCAGGCAGCGGCAGTGGCGGCCGCAGCAGCGGCCCAACAGCAGCAGCAGCAACAGCAGCAACAGGCAGCGGCGGCGGCTGCGGCGGCAGCCTACTACGAGTACACCAGTGGCCTGCCGCCCCAGCATCCCCAGGCGCCGACCATCCTGCAGCAGCAGCAACAGCTCCTGCTCCAGCAGCAACGCGTCCTCATGCAGCATCAACAGCAGCAGCAGCAGCAGCAGCAGCAGCAGCAAGGTGAGTACTGCCTGTCGCCACAATTCAGAAGGAGGGACACACGCACTAACACTCTCTACTTGCAGCGTTGCAGCAGCAACAGCAGCAACAGCAGGCGGCTTCTCATGCGGCACATCCGCAGCACGCAGCATTGGCCCAGGCCGCCTACGGGGGCAGTCCGCAGCGTCGCTTCCTCTCCGAGGGGGAGCTGGTGCGCCAGGGCCAGGGCGGCAGCGAGCTGTCCTACGCCCGCTCCAACAACACGGTGGATAACATACGCGAGCTGGCCGGAAGCCCCCAGCGCGGTGTCTACATGTGGAAGGACACCTCACCAGGTTTCAGCACCAACAGCACCGGCGGGCCCGTCGGACAGCAGCAGCAGCAGCAGGCCGCGGTCAGCGGGATTGGCAGCAGTGCTGGCGCGCTGCCGAGCAGCGGCAACTCGTCCGGGGTGGTGCCGCACGCCCAGTACATAACGGCTGGAGGAGGGACGCATCCGCTAATCATGACGCACTCGCGCCTGCAGGACTACGCGGTCCAGCAGCAGCAGCAGCAACAACAGCAGCAGCAGCAGCAACAACAGCAGGCGGCTGTGGCGGCGGCGGCAGCAGCTGCCTCATATCATCGCTCGAACCCCACGAGTCCCACGACCATGCCGCAGGCCTCCACAACCCAGACGGGCTACGTGCTGCGCTACGGTGGAGCCGCCGGAGGGAGCAGCGGCAGCATTGCCAGCGTGTCGGCCAGTGGACCCTCAATCGGCGGCGCAGTCGGGGGCGGTGGGTACCAGCCAGCACTCCGCGGAGGCGTAGCCGTCTTCCCGCCCAATCCGATGGTCGGCGTCAATGTGAGCAGTGCCGCGGGCACCCTGCAGACGCAGCCCTCGCCACAAATCAAGCGCAAGCAGACCCCGACACGACCCATGAGCTTTGTGCGCGCCCTCGAGATGACCGACTCCATGGAGATGCAGTCCCTCGAGCACCAGCAGCAGCACAACAACGGCGGCCTGCCCAGCGGTGTGGCGGCGGCCGCCGGCGCGTCTCAGCCGCAGAGCAATGCGCATCTCATGCAGAATGCCTCCAACTCGGGGACGCCCGATCGGGCCAGCATCTACGACATGAACTACGAGATCTCCGTATAACCCGTGGTTGTGCCCGTTCTCCTAATGCCACCCGCCTCCAAAAGCAGTAGCCACCCTGGCCCAGGCCTTGGTCCTGCCCCAGCAGCAGCCACAGTCCAAACATCTACAGCCATAGCCACAGCCACAGCTCCCAGCAACCAGCCGTTCTTCTGCCAACATCAGAAGCAGCAGCAGCAGCAGCAGCCGCAGATTCAGCTTCAGCATCAGCATCAGCAATTGCTGGAGCCGGCGGCCTATGCCTCTGTCCCAGTGCTGCCTGTAAAGCAGCAGGGCAACGGCTTGGCCAGCTACCAGCCGCAGTCGCAGCAGCAGCAGCAGCAGCAGCAGCAACAGCAACAGCAGCCACTTCACAGCCAGAACCACCAGAACCCTCAAATGCCGAACAAACGCAAATTTTCGACCTTCTTTTGAGTTGGTCAACGAGCCCAGTATTTTTTTTTAATTTTTCTTTTTTTTTTTGTTTTTTTATTCGTATAATTGTATATATCTTGTTATATACTTACTTATGTACATATATATACCAGACATGTGTGTGTGTGTGTATATGGACCGCTTGCGTACTGCTGTTGTAGCTGTAACTTTTATTTTTACTATTATTACGTAATTGTATGCTTTGTTTTTATGATTACTCATTTTTACAATGTTTCACCATTTTAATATTTATGATTTTCATCCTTAAGCATTTATATGGTCAATATAATATGAATTCAGCGAGAAACTAACTCAAAAACGAAGCAAAAACGAAGAGAAAGCTAAAACAAATGCTAATATTGAGATACCTTGTGAATGTGCGTGCGTTTCATAGCTGTAGGAGTGAATACAAGGAGGACCTTGAGCCTGAAGCAGAGCCTGACTTCTGTGAGCTGTTCTTGGTCTGCTCTGCCATATGGTTGTGTAGCGCACTGTATATACCCACCCACCCGTTCGATGGTATGCCGCTGTAAAATCTACATAAATACATGGATAGTATCGTATAGGCAATCAACTTGAAAGTCGCCAAAAAGAAGAGCAGTAAATTAGTAAATTTAGTCTATGTGCTATACATATATATGCCATTTAATGTACATAGAAGGAGTGGCATGGAGAGGAGAGGATAGAGAGAGAGTCTATGTGTAATGTGCTATGATAGACAGATATTTGCTTTGCACCGAGGGAGAGTGTCTTCTATATGTCTATACTATATCCGTGTATCCGAATGAAAAGCTGCTTCAAAGGCGTGATCGTGATCGTGATCGTCATATGTATAGGAAAGGAACTGATTTATTTGGCCCAGCAACAGCCCCCTCCAAGTCACCATTCAATACCGGACTAAACTTAATACGATAGCTTCTGTTCGTTCGATAGAGATCCATTCGATGACCAACTGATTATTGATTAGTCGATTCGTTGATTCATTTTCATTCAACTTCCATTCATACGTAACTTTATTTATTAAATACTTGATGTTCGATTTTAGAATTGCCTTCAACATTTGTGTGTATTTTATTAGTTGTGGTTTCTATGTTTCTAAGTTTTATTTACGGTTCGACAAGGCAACGCCCGACAAAACGCAATCCGATAGCTTTATAGGTATATGTATGGCTTATGGCAATCCACACAGAGTTGAAAGGCAATCTTTGAGCTTCCCTACAGCCCTGAAACGCACTGTATATGTTAGTATGGGGACAGCCATAGAAACGCGCAGTAGCAACTTCTCTGTTATAATTTTGTTTGTACATTTAAGAAAACCCGAATCCGGCACCGCAATGGTCTGTGTAACTTTAATGTCGTCCAATTCAAATAAGTTTTGATTTTCGTGTACATATGTATGTATATTCGTGTAGGTGTATGTGTATGGGGTATATGAGAGTCTAGTGTGTGGTGTAATGCGTACCAGTATGTGCTATGTGCTATGCGCTATGTTCTATGTGCTGTGCGCTGTGTATATGGGTTTCTCTGGTGCAGCTTGCGGCACTGTCCTCGTACGAGGAGATACGTATGTACATACATGCTTCTTATATATACATAGAGTTAAAATTTGTTGTTATGTTTTTAAGATAACTTAGCTTTTATACCGGTCTGTGTGTAGGTAATTACATCTGTACGTATTGTATGTCCCGTCTGTGTCTGATCGATCTACCCGGATCTACCCAGTAATTTTTGTTCCGTTTATGCTTTGCCTTCATTTGTTGTCCAGAAAGAGAAAGGAAAAGCGGACATTTCTAGAAATTGTAATAATGTTCGACGAGCACACACACACACCACACCTGATCGAAGGGGCTATATCTACGACTATATGTGTTTGTATTCCGTTTATTTACTGCGTCGTCTGGCGAAAGATACATACATATACACATATATATAGTATATATATATAGATAGATGTTTAAGGAAACATCCTCGACCCAGCCCCAAACCCCTGCCCGTGCCCCTGCCCCTGCCCCTGCCCCTGCCCCTGCCACTCACATTTAGAACATGAGAATTTGCAAGGAACAAATCTTGCATAGACTATATAAAGGATCAAGAGTATATATAGCTATATATACAATATTTTTAAGCGTTTTTGCTAACACATTAATTCATGAATTTGCAACAATATTTAATATTCATACAGAAATGCATATACCATCAAAAAACCAGACGAAAACAAACAAAACAAATATATAAGTAATGTAAAATGTAACAACAACAAACTGAAGCGGAGGACGAAATTGTTTTAGATTTTTATACCAAATTTTATTAATGCAAAAACCACGAATTGTTTAATTTTTGTATTTCTGGCCCCTGCCCCTGCCCCTGCCCCAGCCCCAACCCTCTCCTCTTGCCCCGGCCCGCCATGCTATTAGGAAAAAAATATAGAGAGAAAGAGAGCAAATCAAGTCCCCGTCCAGGACGGAGCAGATCCTGGACACTGACGGGAACTAACGAGCTCTAAATTGAATATTTTTTTTTTTTTTTTTGTATTCAATACTTATGTAATTTGTAAATGATATGACAAGTAATCAAATAGCAAACATAAACAGCAAGGCAATTAATAAATAATACAAATAATAATGCAAATGGATGGCGCGCAGTTGTTTTTCCCTTCATTTTGCACTGCCTCAAGTGCTCGTAGGCAACACTCTTGATGCACGCTTGAAGTTGTAATCGAAACGAGATTTACACTTGAAGCCCTTCCAGGATCTTCGCGACTGAAGACTGCCAGTGCTTGTTTTTTTATGAGTACCGGGAACTAAGGAATATACTGGAAATTTCCCTAAGGAAAACTCAAGATAATTGTAGCTCTTTAAAAAGCTGATCGATCGGTCGTTTGTCCAGCTGGTTACCGATTTTTGGGTATTCAAAGGTGCTGTGGGAAGTGCGAAGTATCTGCTTAGACCCAAGTTCCCCGTTCAATATGGAGGGTTTTTTTTTGTTATACGACTATATTTGATATATTTACAACAGATACAATTCAGCTTAATCAATAGTAAACAACTAAAATTGGAATAATCCACAGAACAGTAAAACATTTATCTAACATTGAACTAAATTCGGGATCTGACAATCTCAGAGGCAATCTCGGAGGTGTTTCCGAAGAGTTGGATACCCAATTGCACTACAGCAGCGAGGAGGTGAAAATCTGCTGGAGAATGTGAGGTAGCTTGGTGAGGTCCATGCAGACGAAGCTCTGTCCCGCCGGCATTTCCGAGTTGATTCTGCAGGTAAAGGGAGAAAGCATGATCATGATTGGCATCCAATGAGAGTATAAAATAAGGTGGGCCACTCACTTGTCCGCCTCCTCGGCCAGGCTGCCAATGAATATGGAGTATCCCTTGACCTTGGGCTCGCCCCTCTTGAGGGCCATCGCCAGGTCCTTGGGCGCAATGCCGTAGCGCGAGAGATTCGCATCGCTGAGGACCACAACAATGGCGTTGTCAAAGTCATCCTCGGCCCCCAAAGTGGAGCAGGCCTCGCGCGCCGCCTTGACAGTGCTGTCACCGGACCAGCAGAACTGCGAGTGGGCGTGCATCATGCGGATGGTCTCGAAGCGCTCCTTGTCATTTTTGGGGGCACTGCCCACGTTCACGAAGGGTATTTCCCAGCCCTCGCCACTGTGGCCGATGATGTCGTATACGATCTTCTTCTCGAAGCCCTCGAAGGCCTCCATCACCATGACCACGGCCTCCAGCTGTCGGTCCAGCCGCCCATCGTACCCGTTGAATCTGCACAAAAGACATCGACAAGACAAAAAGTGACAAAAGTAGAGGTGGACGGAGTCTGAGGAGGTTACCTGTACATGGAGCCGGAGACATCCACGACGAGCTTGAGACGATTTGGCTTCTCTTGGACGTGGTCGGCCCACGGGTTGGCCTCGGCCCGCCGCCTGTAAATGTTCTTCTCGCCGGTGATGCCCTCCACCAGTCGGGTGTCGTCCAGCTCGCCATGCGTCTGGTACTTCTGCCACTGGCGCTCCTTGCTCTTGGTCTGCATGGCCTCGAGGACGGCCTTCAGCTGCTGGACCTGCTTCCGATTGGGCTCGCTGAACTGCGCGTACAACTTGTGATCGTGGGCGGACATCTTGATTTCCTTGAGCTTCTCCTCGAAGGCCTTGCGGTTCATTTCGCGGGCCGCTTTCTTGATCTCCTCGGGCACGTCGGCCTTCTCCGCGTCGCTCAGCTGATGCACCTTGTGTCCCTTGTCGAGGCGGAAGGGTCCGCCCTTCCCGCCCAGTCCGGCAGTGTCGCGGCCCCCACTGCCGCCGGCCCAGGTGTTCCCGCCCACGTGCGGCTCGTTTTTGGGATCGAGCTTGCCGAACTTCGGGCCGGAGACACCGAGCCCGCTATGCCGCTCCACCGACGCCTGCAGTGTCTTCCGCTGGCGCAACATCTGCACCTCGTCCAGGGCGTAGGCCTCAATGCCGTGCTTGGCCAGCACCTGAATGACTTGCTGCAGCGCCTCCGGCTGGTAGCGATCGAAGTCGAGCACATTGCCGACCACGTCCGCTATGCTCTCCTCGGGATAGCGCTCCAAGTGCTTCACGATGCTGACGACCTCGCGGGTGGAGTACGGATAGTTGAGCATCCCCTCGTCCGCCATGCTGCGCAGCTCCCCAAAGGCGTTCACCAGCGTGCGCAGCGTCTTCGTGGGGACACTGGGTCCGTACTGCTGGAGCAGATAGATCTCGGACTCGGGCTGGGGATTGCTGATGGCATGGCAGCTGAAGACGTCGCCGAGTGCGGCGAAAAAGTCGTTGCCCAGGAAGGGGAAGCCGGGACGATTGGCCAGGACGATGAGCCGGAACTCTGGGTGAGTCTCGATGCAGTTGGGGGATCCACCCGCGCCGTGCGGCACAATCCGCCGGCCGTCGGCCAGGACCATCTCCCCGCTCTCCACCAGAGTACGCAGGATGCAGGTGACATTGACCGGCGCCTTGTCCGCCTCGTCCACCACCAGCACATGCCCCGAGCGGACAGCCTTGACCAGGGCGCTGTCCTCGTAGGCCACCTGTCCGTCCTGCAGCGTCGACTGCAGCGTCAGGCTGTGCACAGTGGTGTCCCGGTGCAGCTGGATGTACTCGCGCGGGCGCTGCATAAGCTCCAGCAGACGGTCGATCAGCTTGTTCTTGCCCACGCCCTGGTTGCCCACGAGCAGCAGGTGCTCGCCGATAAGGTAGTCCTGCAGCAGGCGCTCCAGCAGCTCCACGTGCTGGGGCATCTCGTAGAAGAGTGTGCTGGGCACCTTCGACTTTTCCGCCTGGCTGGGATTGCCTAGCTCCATCCGCGTCCCTCCGATCCTCAGGGTGTTCCCCTCAACGCCAATCTGTCCGGTTCCGGGGTTCCTGCTGCTGCTCCTCCGCTTCTCCCGATTGCTGGGATGGATACCCACCTGCTGCATGACCTGCTCCAGGGCGGTGCGCGACAGAGCCGGCATAAACCTGGCCAGGAATGTATTCTGCAGCATCTCGTGCACGTCGCTCAGCTCACTGCCGGGGTAGGCCGCCAGGCGACGGGCCAACTTGATGAGCTGCCGCGTGGACAGTGTTCCGGCCAGGCCCTGGATCAGCGGATCCTGCGAGGAGCGCAGCAGTTGGGCGAGCTTCAACAGCTGATCCATTTGGGCGGGCAACTGGCCGCCGCCGCAGAGCTGGGTGAGCAGCTCGTGCTCCTCGCTCTGGTGGAGTGGACGCAGCTCCTGGTAAAGGAACAGACTCAGCAGCTCCGGTGTGAGCCAATTCGGCTGCCCACTGCCCGGCCGAGGTGGCTCCGCCAAGGCCACAACGCGGAAGGCCTCGTTCATCGGCAGCAAGCCTTGCTCCGTCAGCTGAGCGCTGGAGAATCCCTGCTGGAGAAGGGCCTGGTACCGGTCCGGGCGGAGCAAGGTGGTCCCGTCACACAGCTGCAGCTCACGGTCGTGAATGAGGCTGCAATCGAGGTTCAGAGTTTCCAGCGTTTGCGAAGGATTTACGGGATTATGTGCACTTACCGCTGCAGTACCGTCGCCGTGCTCTTGTGGAGACGATGCACTCCGTTGAGCACCACCACAGATCCGGTCTTGGCTGCCCGCACTAGGGGCGAGTCCCGCCAGATGGTGTCGCCCTGGGCACTGGTGATGCGCTGCTGCACCAAGTCCCGAGAGGTCATGTCCTCGTACAGCATCATGGGCTCGGCGCTTTGGTGGAGCAGGCGCAACAGCTGCTTGGTCAGGGTGAGCTTGCCCACCCCCTTCTCGCCCAGCAGACACACGTCTCCGACGGCATAGGCCTGGAGCAGGGAGGCCAAGGCCTGTCGCTGGTGTGGCAGATCCACAAAGTTGCTCGTGGGCGTGGAAGTGGGCGAGGCTCCTCCGCCGGGCAGGCTCAGCTTCAGTTCGTCCAGCTGGACGGTAATGCGATGGTCAGCCTGGGCGCTGCTGCTGATGCTCTTGACGGTCTGGCCGGGCAGACGCTGCACATGCAGGCTGCTAAGAAGCTCCACGACTCGCTTCTGCTGGTCGGACTTCAGCATGGATTGGTAGGGATATATACGAGTGATGACGTCATGAAGGCTGAGTGCGGGATTGGCCTCCTGCAAGCGAAAGCGAAAGCGGATGCGGATGCGGAAGAGATGATGAAATCGATGGCAAACGACACAAGCTCGAGCGTAAAGTACGCACCAGCATCTGAACGCCTAGCTGAAGATTGTGCAGGGGAAAGTCGGGCAGCTGGAGGCTGTCGTCTGCCTTCTGCAGCGTGAGGGCGAACGTGAGGAGCTGTTTCAGCTGATCTCCGGGCACAGCCGGCGCCACCTGCTGCAGTTCTTCGTACAGCTCGCCGTAGGAGTAGCTGGTCACGTTGCGCGACTGGAAGCGAGACCGCAGCGGGGGATCCAGAGGGGTTCCCTTGTACTTGTGCGTGGGCAGACCCAAGGCCACCACGCGGAACTGTTCAGAGACGCGCAGGAGGCCCCACTCGTCCAGCTGCTCGCGTGAATGTTTCTACAAAATTGAAGAGTTATTAGAGCGTCGGTTGGGATACGTTGGTCGTTGGGATCGTACCTCCAGTAGCTTATCGTAGCGTTCGGGCGACATGAGGAATTTACCGTCTTCTAGGTGCATCTCACGGTTCTCCAGCAGGTTGTTCAGAATGGGCAGCACATTACGCTCGGCGTGCTCCACCCCATCGAGGATGAGCACGCGTCCGTGGATGGCAGCCCGCACGGCTCCCTGGTCGTGGTAGATGGCCGCTTTGTTGTGGATCTCGCGCCGCTGCTTGAGGTCGCTCTCGGTGGTGTCGCGACTCAGTGCGACATACTCCACCTCGCGCTGGGTGAGCTCCAGGAACTGCATGGCCAGCTGGCGACGCAGCGGACCGGGCTGGCCCAGCAGGAACATGTCCTGCTTGAGAGCATCCTTCTGCAGCATCCAGCGGAGATGGTGCAGGGCAGACTGCGTCAGCTGAAGAGTGCCATCCGCCGCGTATTTCACTGCCAGATGGAACAGACAGATAAAATGGCAATCGACCTTTGATCACGTGTGAGATCCGGAGCGGATCTTATCGGATGCTTACCGTATTGCTGGGGCACCAGGTGCGGCTGCTTCGGCTTCGTTAGGCGCACGCTTACATCACCGATGGTCAGACGATCGTCTTCTGGGGTCTTTGCTTGGTCGCTGGCACCTCTGGGCGCGGTGCTCGCCAAGCTGCGTGTCCAGTGGCTGGTCCGTTGGAGCCTATGACGCAACAAGTGGCCATTGCGGACCTGGAAATTGGCTAGCATTGCAGCCCACGGCAGGCGGCAGGGGCGTGGGGTCAGGGGGGAGGCCTAGCTGGGTGTTTGGGGCAAAGCGTTTTGCCCAAAGTCGCCAAATCAAGTGTTTACAGTAAGCCCGCGCGTGTTACGATTGCTGGCGCCGAAGAAGCTACAGCTGGTTGGGCAGTGCTGCTCTCACGATAGTTATCGATGCTACTATCGATACCTTCCCCTTGAAATAACACACTCGTCACGCCATATCGCGCATCTCTAGCAAGCAGCTGTGACAACTAAACGAACAACGCATTTCTAAAACATTTACAATTAATTGTGTAAGTCGTCGCCAAACTAACAAATAAACAACAGCGAAATATGACTACAGCTGCGCGCCCCACATTCGACCCCGCCCGAGGTGGCTCTGGGCGCGGCGAGAAGGATTTGAGCGCTCTGAGCAAACAGTACTCTAGTCGCGATTTGCCAGGCCACACCAAACTAAAGTACAGGTAAGCAATCGCATCGGAAATGGCAGCCACGGCCTGAAATTTGCCATTGCACTTAATAATTGTGACCGATAATCATTCGCAGGGAGCCTGGACAGGGCACCACCGAGGAGATCCGCAGCCGCGACTTCCGCAAGGAGCTGGAGGAGCGAGAGCGCGAGGCACGTCCTGGTGCCGCCTCGAGCAAGGCCCTGCCCTCGATTGTGCGCAAGGCCATTGAGGCAAACAATGCCAGCGGCAGCACCAACAAGCGAGCGAAGGTGGACGGTCAGTCCCAGCTGCTGCTGCAGCAGCAACAACAGGCCAACATCGATGCGGACGAGGCCTTGGACAACGACAGCTCGGACTCGGACAGCGACTCGGACGACGATGATGCCGCCCTGCTGGCCGAGCTGCAGAAAATTAAGCACGAGCGACTGCAGGAGACAGCCCGAAAAGATGCCGAGAAAAGTCGCGAGGACGAACGTATCCGCATGGAGAACATTCTCTCCGGAAATCCCCTGATTAACTACGAGCCGGGCACAGCTGCCTCCGCAGCCGGACGGGCCTCTGGCCTGGGCGGTGACCTCAAGATCAAGCGCCGCTGGGACGACGATGTCGTGTTCAAAAACTGCGCCCGATCGGCGCCCGAGAAGAAAACCCACTTCGTCAACGACGCCTTGCGCTCTGATTTCCACAAGAAGTTTATGGACAAGTACATTAAATAGACGGACTAAGAATTAAGAACCATCCTAGGATTTAATTGAAATTTAAGAATGAAATCTATGTAACTTTCAGCTGCTTTCTGCTGCCAATTAATTAAACCCCACATTTTGTATACCTCTTACCTCTCCTCTGCAAGACTGTGCGTTCCTTGTTACGTTACGTTCTCCGGGTCTGACCCAATGCCTGACCGCGGCGGCAGCGGCGGCAGCGGCGACGACTGTCGAACGATCGATCGACCGACCGAACGACCGACCGACCGACGAGTGCGAAGGGCAGGCAACCTTAACCAAAGTGTGAAACCGCAAAAAACATCGGTAGCCAGCGGCAGAAGAACCAGCAGCAGCAGCACCGTGAGCAGGAGGCCCCGAAAGAAGAGGAAGCCCGAGGGGGAAGCATCAGGAAAGTCAAAGTGGAACGAGGGGCATCAGCTACGTGAGCACACGAAGCGCATAAGCAGCAGTAGTGGCAGTGGCAACGGCGGCGGCAGCGGCAGCGGCAGCGGCAATCATGATGAGAGAGGGGGCAGATGACGATCATCATAAGGGCAATTGTCGCTGCTGATGAGGCACGAAGCAAAATCAATTTGCCAAAAGGAGTCGAGAGCCAGAGAGCGCAAAACAACTTGGTCAATTACGCCGACTCCACTCGACTCGACTCGACCCGACCCGAACGTTCCGGCAGCTAATGCAAATCATCAGCCGTTGGCAGGGGAGGGCAGGCAGCAAAGGAGGCTTGCCCCACAATTTCCACGCCTCTTTAATGCCCCGCACGCGGCCTGCAGAGCAGGTCTGCATCTGAACCTTAACTTTGTCAATGGGACCACGTTTCCGCGGACCCGCTGGCCCTCGTTGGCCCCGGCTCTGGGCCCCGGCTCTGGGCCCCGGCTGGTGTCTGGTTCGACAACTGCGGGGCAGCGACCAGTCGCGACCCCTCACCCAAAGTTGACGAACGCTCAATTTTACGCTAATTCGATCAGAATCAAAATCAAACAAAATTATCCCGGCCGAAGCCAGAAAAGCGATGATCATGTTACACTAGTCAACAGGGTTGTGGCTGTTGCTGTGGAGTCAACCAATGCGCTGGGCATCGACTGGAATGTTGACGGTAGGTAACTGAGGCTGAACTAAAATATTTTACATCTATGTACGTTTTCATTGACGTTTTTATGTTTTATTTATTTCAGAGCCGCCAATTAGAATCGGCCAACAAGGACTATCGGCGTGAAAGACACAAGCATCAGTACTGCCCAGATCATTCATGTAGATCCAATATTTGCACAGACCTCGCTGCGGTCTCCGGCAGCAGTGCCCAGTTAACAAATTCCCGTATGAACTCCTTGGCTTGTGGCATACCAGTCCTTGTCGTTGGTCGTTGCACTTCAGATAGCTTCAGTCTATGGGTAAGTACTGTTACTTGCTTATTTTGTTTGGTGTGTTTCGCTTGATCCGCTTTGGATCAGTGGGAATCCTTCTTTCAGTCAGTTTCGGATCACTCCAAATTACTAAAAACCGAACCGCGCACTGCGGATACTCATACAACATACTCACTGTGGAGTGAGCGAGCAGAAAAACCAAAATTTTCGGATCTGACTCCCTTCGAATCTCTCCCAATCGATTTGGTTGTCTGTTCATGCAGGACTGTAGTATGTACATACATATGTTATTACCAGTGTTAACTAGCGATGGTATTGGTGGCACTGCAATACCAATTTTCGCACTGTTGCGGGCCCCCTCCAAGAAGAAGGGTTTCACTAATTTGTTCACCAGTGTATGGACTGTGATTGACAATGATCATGAGATTGAGGATGATAAGAATCATGATGATTGTTGTTATTACGCTGCGGGCTATGCTGCTTCTGTCTGCTGCCTTGTGCTGCCTCCTCCTACAGCACAGTGGCAGTGGCAGTGGCAAGACCTGGGCTGCAGCAGCAGCAACAAGAATAATTTATTTCCTGTTTTGCATTATGCATCCCATCCCCATTATTTGTGCATTCATCAAGAGCCAGCCAGTGAGGCCCGGCCAGTGAAGCCAATCTGCGCTGCACTTTTCGGTAGTCGCCGCGCGCTAAATTGTGGCCACCGAGCAGGGGCCATGGACGTGGACGTGGACGTGGACGTGCACATGGGACTGGAGCCGGTTCAGGGAGTGGAGTGCCACTGCCACTGCCAATGCCATGGCCTATCAATTGTCAGCAATTTTACAACTGCATAAACTTGCAACAAAAACAACTGCGTAAATATGGCGACTGGCACTGGCCGGCGGAAATGGCCGTCGCGGTTGCAAGTGACAAATAGCCAGCGAACGATGGCCGATGGAGTTGCACGGAAGAATAGCAAGGGGGCGTGGGAAAGGCAGTCGACCAGTTGACCACCAAATAAAGACCGCGAACATATGTTTCGGGCGCCACAGATGGGTGGAAAAGACACCAGAAAGGAATTCGGGTTGCAGTGGGGCGTGGGTCAGGCTTTATTAATGAAGCAGACCCCAACTCCCACATATGTACGTGTAGTACACATCAGCTGACATTTACAGAATATACATACATATGTATGTATTTGAGGACCCTTTCCACCGATTAGTAAATGATCGATCCTTAGTTTTCAGAGAAACAAAAATGTCTCGAGACAACCAATATACACTCGTAGTCTGTAGAGATTCCGCAAAAGTGAAGTCATGATCTCCCTATAAACAGGATCTGTGATCATGTGCATATAAGAATCAGAAGTATCATAAGAAAAATCTATCGTTTTAAGCACCGATAATTTGAATAGAGATAATTGTATAGAGGAGGCAGAACCTTTTCTTTGAGAAATAGCACTAATGTTGTCCATAGTCTATATAGATTTGAACCTTTGGAACTCATGGAAATGAAACTCTCTCCAGCAGGATGTTATGGAGGAATACTGCAACTTTTAATATCATCGATTGTTGATAACGATTAAAAGTTTTCTTTGATTATTATTTTAATTATAATCGTTGGATTGGGACTATTCACTCGATCAGATCTCTCCTCGAGCTTTGCATTTTCTGCATTTAATCTGAATTGAGCCTAGACCCCCGAGACCCTAACTACGAGTCTGTAGAATACACTGAGGGGGCCACACTTTATTTTGCTTTAAAATTTTATAGAATGCAAATTTCACTCAGCTGTTGCTGGCGTGGCGTGGCGTGGCGTGGCATGTGGCATGTGGCCTGCCCTGGTCCTTCCTATCCTAGGCCTGGTGTCGGGCTCTGGGACTTGGACTGGGAAGGAGGGCTTCGACAGCTTGGCCGTTGCTGTCGCTGGAACTGTAACTGATGCTGCATAATTTAGTTGACCAATTTACACTGAAACCGTTTGCCACTGAGTGCAACCGGAAACGCATGCACCAAAAAAGCCAATGCATTTTGTGGCCTCCACACGGCACGCACACTAGCAGGCCAGAAAAGGCGTCGGCCTCGGCCTCGGCCCCGGCATCTGCATAACCTGCCACACGTACACGGAGCACGGGGTGGCAGGGATATTTTAACTTGTATGTATTTTTTTGGGGTCTGCACTTGACATATTTACTCGCAGTGACCATTTGTAAATCGTCTCCTCCGCTGTACAGCGTCCCGCTCAGGCCAGACCGCCACCAGACTAGGGCAGTGCGGAGTCAGGACAGAGCCTGGACCGAGTAGGACCAGGTCATAGGAGGGATGAGGATGTAGTGCGAGTTCATCAGTAACGTTTAGGAGGTAGTGCTGCTGACGGGTGTGCAGAGTCTGCCACAGACGGACCTCTCGCGAGTGAGTGGATGAGGTGCACGCATACAAACATATGTGCATATGTGTGAATAAAATCTAAAATAACAGGACACTCATTTTTTGACTTTTACAGAGTTCATAATGCCAAAATTCGAGACAAATTATTATGAAACTGAAGAAATAGACAAATATTAGGCATTTTTCTCAAAGCGAGAGATTCTTCTTTCTCGTAATTATAAAACCAGTCCAGACCCAGACCCAACCAGTAAGAACCCAGTCATCGGGGTCTCCCTAGATGGAGTCAGAGTGGCTTCCTTTACTTCATTCAACTCTGAAAGGGCATAATGTCGTTGAAATGCGAGACTTAACCGGACAAAACTCTCGCAATGGGATCCAAAACGATAGAAAAATGATTAACATGTCGCTTAGTTTACGGCAGTGAAAGCTTTGTTTACGATAGTCGCTCAAAATAGTGCTAGCGAAACTTTTTTGCGATTAGATTGCGTTGGATCCATTGGATCTTACTCTTATAAAATATACATACGATATACTCGTATGATTTTAAAAATGCATATTAGGTTTCAACAAACCGCCTGCTACTGCATGAAGTATATATATCTCCCTATTATATTAGGCTGAGGAAACTTATTGCCATTTATACTTATACCATTAGGTATAGGTAGTGGGGACTCCCAAGAACTTCAACCGATCGAAAAACCAGTCTTTGTGCAACCAAAATGCTATGTATTTTATTGTTAGAAACATAAATAGGTGCAAAAATATCAGATGGGGTAACCTGTAGCTGCCTTACTGCTCGTTTTCTTTGAGTTTTGCGGCTTGCAGTTCGGTTCTAAGAAGTGTACGACGCGGAGACAACCACACAATGAAATCCGTGTCGCCATCCCACGGTCCCACCGATGCCACAATGCAACAAAGCAACCATGCCACAATGCAACAATGAAGAGCTTCCCTTGCGGTGGCATCAATCCGAGGCCTGCGCCGGGCCTGTGCCTGTGCCTGTGCCTATGCCTGTGTAAATGGAGCTCCAGCCCAAACAAATTTCAAGTTGAAGTTAATTTGATTATAAACAAATTTCACCTACGCATCAATGACGGGCATCAACAAATCGACATCCCTTGCACCACTCACGCACTTTTGTGGCACGGACGTGTGGCAGACCAGACGCATATTTCCGCTGAAAGGCGGTGGACGAGACGGGGGCATTGGCTGTTGCCCGGCCCGCTAATGCCGGACTAGTGCCGGACAACGACAACGGCAACGACGGGACTTGAGCAGCTCGGGCAACAGGTGGGGAGGAAAGCGGAGCGCTAAGGGGTGCAGCTGGATCGCCTGTGATGGTGATTCGGTGGCTTTTTCTGCCCGCCGGAAATGCAA